GGGGACAGAGGGGACAGGGTGGGGGACCGGGGGGGGACAGGGTGGGGGACAGGGTGGGGAACCAGGCAAGATGGGGGGACAGGGCGGGGGACAGGCTGGGGACGACATGGCAGGGTGGGGGACCGGGGGGGGACAGGGTGGGGGACAGGGTGGGGAACCAGGCAAGATGGGGGGACAGGGCGGGGGACAGGCTGGGGACGACATGGCAGCACTGGGGTGAGGACGGGGGTGGCCCTGGGGCAGGGGACAGTGGGGACAAGGCAAGGGTGGCCCCATTCTGCCGCTGCCACCCCCAGCCATGGGCGCTGCTGGCACCGAGGGGCAGCCGCCCCCCACCAGGGCGCTCTCGGGGGGTCACCCCGAGGCGCCCCCAGCTCGTTTCCAGCCGGGTTCCCCCACGGATCTTGTCCCCACGTGTGTCCCCACGCCGGTCACACTCCCGGCTCCCAGCAGCCGTGGGGCCCAACTGGGCCAGAACCAGCCCAGGAGGGGAGCTCGGGGGGGTCTCAAGCCCTCAGGGGGTACCCGCGGGGGACACGGGGACACCCCTCAGCCCGTCCCCTCTCGCCCAGGGCCGGCAGCCGCATCGTGCCCGCGGAGGAGCCGGCCGCGGTGCCCGGCGCGTCCCCGCAGCGCCAGGCCATCAGCATCAAGTCGGAGCGGGTGTCGCCGGGGCTGGGCTGTCCCCCGGGCACCCCCCAGCCCCCCCTGGCCAGCCTGGCGACCCTCAGCGAAGCCTCCCGAGCCCCCGGCGACCTCCAGCCCCGCGACGACTTCGCCAAGGGCTTCCCCCCGTACGCGCCGGGGCCGCTGCCGCTCCCCGCGCGGAGGGGAGCGCCCGTGGACGTTTGGCAGAGATAGCGAGACCGGCGGGGCGTGGGGAGGGCGAGCACCCAGCCCGGGGGAGCGGCCCCCCGCTTCTCCGCCGTCTCAGCCCCTCGGGAACCCCCCCGTGCCCGTGGCGGTGCCACCGGGCTGCCCGCAGGGTCACTGTCCCCCAGCCTGGGGCTGCGGCTCCTTGAGACCCTCCCCAAGCCTCCCCGGAGCCCCCCAAATGCCACCAAGCCCCCTCCTCTCGGCTCTGCCCGGCGCTGTGGCGGTGTCGGTCCGGTGGCGCCGTCCCCGCCGGTCCCCGCCCGTCCCCGCCGGTCCCCGCC